TTATCACTGTTGTAAGGATCATTTCCAACACTAAAGGCCTGTCCGATCTAAAGGGTCACTAAAGGCACACGAGTATGCTCGCAAAGTAGTTGATGCAACTTTTTTGACGCTGGCGTAAATTTGCGTGACGCAGAAGACATAAAACTGAGTTCGCTCCTGTTCAGCTTTTTTGCCCGCGACGCGTGCATATAGCCAATAGCCGACCGAGTTCTTATCACGTGTCATAATCAGAAAACCTTCTTACTTACCCGTTTCAATATGGCGTCAGAACCATACAGAGATGAGTTTTTGCTTAGAAATATCATAACTGTATACAGCAATAAAATAATCAGCATTGTTCACACCATTTTCAGATTTCTCAAACCATATATATTGGTATAAATTTAAAATTCTCATTAAAGGGGAAAACTGTATATTTATAAAGCAATGATCCAACCAGTATATCCATATGCTTCACCTGTTTATAACACCGTAAGTAATAGGATCCTAAATAAATTACAGTTTCTACAAAATCAGTTTCTGCCTTACAAAATTCTCCTTAATTATTATAAATATCGGCTATATCATGTGTAATAAATAACTCTATAAATATCCCAATATTAAATACACCAAAAACTAACTTCAATATAACAGCTTCTAAAATAAAGCAGTTGACTGTGAAAGAGTATTCAATAAAATACAATTGCGAAATTTTGGAGGAAAATTACAACTTGTGCCATACAGCAATCATTTATTGAAGTTTAATTAAAATACCTTTGCAGTGAATTCTACTTGTTACATTATTTTTCACAAACACTGCTATCACAGATAGCTGACCACTCAGCTATCTGTGATAGCAGCATTGCAAATGGAAAGGCAGAGAGTTCAAACCTCACCGTAGACAGAATATATCAGTTAGCTTTTCTCATTTTGAAACGTGTTTCTTATATTTAATCCTGAATCATTATATTCTTATTTCACCTATTATTATTGTTTTCATTTCTTATTTTATTAAATATTATTATTATTATTATTTTTTTTTAGTTTAAAAATGTGCATTGCAAATAGAAACCCTTATGTAATAATATATCTGCATCTCTTTATCATATATCATCTATAAATTCTCTCTTTATTTTTACTTTATTGCATATTTTACCATGCACATAATTTCTCATAAAGTGTCCTCATAAAGTTTGAACCTCATTCTAAATTCAAAAATAAATAAATAAAAAAAAAAAAAGCAAAAGACCAAGGGAAGGGGAGTTAAAAAAATATAAAGTTGGTTTTATGATATGGTGGATGGTGTATATAAAGAGATACTGCATTCCAAACCAGTTTTATAAATCCTAATTTTCATACAATATAGAATCTGCAAGTCTGTTAAAATGGTCGATACTCATCCTAATAATTAAAAAACAAGTAATACAAAAAAAAAAAAAAAAAAAAAAATTCCTACTTAGGTCCACAAAGAAAAATTTAAAAATACAAAAAAAATAATAAATAATAAAACAAACAGAATTTTTTTAAATTAAAAATATAATATGTGAAAAATTCTATGATACAAGGGTGCGACAGAATTTGGATTTTCTAAGCTAATGCTCTTAAAGGAACTCACACTTGGGAGTTCTGGAAAGCTTTAAAATCTTTTTTTTTTTTTTTTTTTCCCTTTAGTATTTGCAGTTTGACTATTTTTTATTTCTTTATTGTACGGTATTTTCATTATTGGTAGTTTTAATTTCTGTGCTACGTTTTGCAGCAGATTTTAAACTGTCTGCTTATCACTGTTTGCGTGCCTATTGATTTTACTGCATTTGTGTAGGATAAATTTTTTTGCGGCTGTGTCTCTGCTACTAAACTTTTGTCTTCAACATATGCAATATTTTTCAAAACTTTTGTTTGTACCTCCTTTTCTGCCTTTTATTTTGGGCACAATCGAGAAAATTCTGCGAGCTCCCCTTTGTAATCAGCACATAATGGGTTGCCACTGCAATTGCCACAGTTGTATCACAATTCCACACAGCAATATGCACATGTGAGTTTGCCAGGACAGGGCATTTTCGAGTCGCCAAAACACCGATAATAGAACAGAGCTGCTACGTTACCAGAAACCAGAAAATTTCAGGGAATTTATATATTTTAGTCAAAATCTGGAAAAGTCAGGGAATTTCCCTTCCAAAAAAGCGAGTTTTGCGCCGACAATGGAAGCGATAATTTTCTTGCCGAATCGTGTATCTCGTGAGCATCATTCCTAGAGCCAATTTTTGCATAGAGCCAATTTTTGCAAATCTAATTAGATTGTCGTTTAGAAAGGCAAAGCAAGTTTCCAGCAACTTTGGTTTCCAGTAACCTCAAGAATCAACAGAATCGCATGTGCAGTGCAGTGCATGTTGAACTAAACAAAATACTAATTCTCATATAAAACAAAATCGGTTTAATCCTAGTATATGGCACTATGGAAATTAGAATCAAAGAATATGTATTGTTAAGAAGGAAAACTTCTCTGCAACAGGAGTTACTTAGTTTCAACATAGAGGGAAACAGCTACGCATGCGCAAAATATCTACCGCCAAAGCTCGAAGCCGGAGTCGAAGGCCACGTTATCAAGTGTTCATAAAATGAATATCGTTAAAAATTTCTTTAAACTTTAATGCAAAAGAAAATATTTTTTCATAAAAGTAAACTAATTAATGGATCAGTTATTTTGAGAGGAAAAAACCAACTACGAAAATCTACGTTTAAATTGTGAAAAATCAAAGAAGAAACATTTTGTCAAAGAATGTTTCTTCTTAACATGTGTTCATCAATTTCCTGTACACATCTCAGAGAGAGAAATTCTGACTGCCAGGTTCCGTCGCCAAATCCCTCCTTTGGCGAATTTTTCCTCCGCTTTCTAGCAGCATAATAGCATTACGTCTATGGAACCTTTCCTTCTTTACATAGACGTTCTTTGGTTACAATAACCTCCATGTATTTTATTCTAACCTCCATGTACGGTACACATGGGATTTGGCGACATTATGATGAGCAGTAAACGGGTCACTTTGGAGTTGACGACAATTTTCAAAATCGTGCCAAGGACTTAGCTTATACTAGATTTTAAAACTTTTTTGTTTTTTCCTTTTTAATGTACGGTATACATGGGATTTGGCGACAACCTCTGAAATAGCACCTCAACAAAAATGTAAAGTTTTGTGCTCCGAAATATTTATATCAATTAGACAAAGCTTTTTTTAATACATGGAGTGTTACAGATTGAAATGGAGAAAAAGTTTCAACAAGAAGATCGCTAGACCACAAACACTTGATATTCTTAAATTCACCTATACAAGACTGTAGACACTTATGAATGAGGAAAGCTAATATTTTTAGCACATTGTCCATTGAGTTGTTAATAACCAGAAATCGTCACTGACAAACCGAAACATTATGACCCTCCCCACATTTTTCAACGAACTAGTCTGGATGATGTGAAAGGTACATGATTAAGTGGGAATGGAATTTAAGTGCTGCATGGAAATGGTAAGGAATCATTCTTGCACTTCTGCGAGTTATGGGAAACATTGCTAAGTGAATTTGATAGAGGACAGACTGTAATAGCCCGAAGACTCGAATTGTGTTGGAGTGGTTTGAGGGACATAAGGATGAATTCCAATTAATGTTATGTCCACCTAACTTTACCAATAGAGCACCCCACTTTAACCCAATAGAGCACATTTGGGATAATATGGGAGCTCAAACACCACCATGTCAGAATATCTCAACTTTGCATGACCACTGCTTAGACATTTGGTACAACCTGTCTCCAGTGATCTACCAGGAACTTATGCCATCCATACCAAGGTGAATTGCAGCTGATTTGCAGGCCAAAGGTTGCATAACACGTCATTGAGTAGGAGGTCAAAATGTTCTGGCTCTTCAATGTAGGTGCTTTTGTATAACTAATAGCAATTACACATCTTGACTTTTTATTTGGGCTATTACTAGTAGAACCCATGATGTTTAAAGTGGCCATATTTGAAGATTAAAGGAAGATTCAGACCCGACAGCTTCACTCACCACGGAGTACAACAAGGGTACATATTCCTCAGTCAGAGCTAACCCGGTCTATCCACAGTCCCAAAGTTAGCTTTCCCAAAAGCTTATCCCCAAGTCACTGAACCTATGGGCAAGTGACCAGCCTTTTGACACCAATGGGGACAGCTAAGAACCTCTCAGTTCAATCGGAAGCAGAGCTTAAGCAGTGTGTTGGGGATAGTACCTTTCCCCTCAACTACCAGGACCTATCTTTCCAGCCTTACAGGCCGTAATGCTTGGCAAACAAGGCAGTTTTCTTGCCATGAGAAACTAGAAACAAAGTGATATAACAGAATCTCACTTTGATCCCCAACCTCCAAAATGACAAACCACAAGAGTGAAAAAATGGAAAAAGCACAGATAAGAGTGATGAAAAAGAAAGGAGAAAAGATTACAGGGGCTCCAGGATCATGACCCCTTTCAGCAAGAGGGTGATCCCTTGAAGGACTTAAGTACCTCATTACACATGTATACTCACAAAGAGCGAGCCCCTGAGGGAAGTTTTCATGGAGGACCTTCTCAGGGAAGTCTTATATTCATGTCACACATGGGGGAAACATCAAAACCCAACCATATTGCCAATCCATTTGCCTGGGATTGAACCTGGGTTGAAATCCTGGCATTTGGTGGTTTTAATCATTTAGCCGCTGGTGAGGCTAGAAGCCCCAAAGTGTATTTTAAAATTTTTAAGATTTATGAAATTAATGAACGTAAATCACAAAAATTAAATAATTTCTAATAAATTTTGATTTTGTTTTTGCCTTATTCCCTTCAATGACATTATCACAGCTACTTGGGAAGAGGAAAGTAATACAGCTTGTATGTCTTTAAGTTAAGAATAAACTATAAATTCAAATTCACATAAATGTAAAATGAATGAATGCAAGTGGAAATATACAGTTAATGATATAAACATACATTTATAATCTAAAACATATACAGCTTACTTTCCAAGGTCTTCGAATTCCTTTAAAAAAGTCTGGCATCCACATAGGCAGCACAACAGCTTCTTCTAGCAATTTTTTGGCTTCTTCCAGATCTGCAATATCATCCCAGCGAACGCTAGGGTGCTTTTGAAGTATGTCACGTTCCAACATTTCCACGAGTTCCCTGTCATAACCAGATCCATCAAATTTTTTCTCCTCAGGTTCCTTAACAAACAATGGTGTAAGAATTATTTTCATTCATACAATAATTAGCAAAACATGAAAGTATTAATCATAGGTAAGTGCCAATCAAAATCTAAGCAATTATTACCTTGTACATATCAGTAGACGTCACTTTATGATTACGCTTAATGTTAACATTCGTTTATCGAATAGCCAAACTTCCACCCTTTTGTGTGTGAAAACATGGAAAATACATTGCTTACTGTGATGAACAATTTGGTTAATATGATCAAAGATTTCAGGCATTCAGAAATAAAATAGCAATGTTAGATGTTGTTAAAAAAACCTCTCAGTGTTTATGTAAATTTTTCTCCCTTTGATACTGACATTCGCAGTTTTGAAATGTAATTACTAGAGTTACAAAACAAAGAATTACAGAGCTCCAAATTTGAACATCCTGATGTTGATTTGGGAAAACTGGAGGGAAAATATGTCATCTTCGTTTGTAGCAAAAGTTATCAACTTTGAATGACCTGGAAAACGAAAACATAAATTTAACACCTGGAATAGTACTCCTGACTCCTTTAATCAGCTAAAAATGCTAGCATTTACTGTTCTTTTACTCTACATATACATGTGAACAATCTTTTTTAAGCAAGAACCAGAAGTAAATTGAGAAACTGTCTTGCTGATGAGAACTCCGAACCCTGCTTGACATTAAAGTCACCTCACTTATTCAAAATTTCTAAGGACATGCAAGGTCATGAAATGCATGTTTTGTCATATTTTTATTTTATTCTAAAAAAATTTTTTTGTCAATAAATAAGATTATTATTATGATTATACCTACTTTTATTTAATGTAAGTAGTTTAAACCAACTCCTAAAAACGTGGTTCTTGAAATTCGGCTCTTAAAAGAAATCTTGTTCTTACACAGCTTATTTTGGCTCTTTTGACTAATGAGTTTGCTGACCACTAGACTTGCAAAAATGTGACCATATTAAATGGTAAATATTGTATTTAGAATTTTAACTTTGTTTATAGAGTTACACAGATGCAAAACCACATTTTTAACTGATAAAAGAACTTTTGTGTATTTTAAAATATAATAAAGACTTCAATCCTGGAATTTGTTTTCACTATGCAGGCATAATTGTCCTCGCAAATTAAACAGGAAGCCACTTGAAAGAAATATTTGTTGCAAGCCTAGTATGCAAGTGACCCAAGGAAATAAATACAGAGTTACATTTTAGTCTTTTCTCTAGTAAATAAGTATACGAGTTTCCTTATGGTGCTAATTTAGAACGAAATAGCATCATAGCAACTTTTCTCTCTCGCTCTTTGGTTACTCCTTTTAGCAGCTTATTTTAAAAACACACGGTTTTGCCCTTATCGTTAATTTCTAGGGAATGAATTCCTAAGCAATTAGCCCTATTGTTACTGCTTAGCCTAAAATTGTTTCAGGTGCAAAATTAAATACATACCAAAATCATGCTACGATTTCTTTTTAATGTTATGAATTGTATCTTTTTAAAATATTTTAACTCTGAAATTTTAATGGTAAATTCCTGAAGGTGTCAGGTAACTGAACCACTGAATTTGAACTATTCTTTTAATTTTATTTATTTTGAGCCATTGTCCAAATTATATTAAAGTTAAACAGATTACCCTTATTTCATTATTGATTATATAAAAACACTATGTTAGAAAGAGAATGTAGAAACCAAAGAATGTAACACCATTAACACTACTTCTTAAACCAAATTCACAATTGTTGTGGGTATAATCACACAGTATTTTCTATACTAATTGTATGATTTCATGTTTTGAAGTTTTATATAAAGCATTCATAGCTCACCCCCAGGTCTGTGATATTAACTAACACTGATTGGTGAATTTAGTGAGCTACGGATGTATAAATTAGGATACAGTTAGACTTGTAGTGTTGCTTTCACAAAGTGTCTAGTTATGGGACAGTTAAGTGAACTGCATAATATGTTGCAAATAATTGAGTACCATATACTGCCCCTTTATAGGAAGTAACAATGGCCCATCTATTAGGTGCTTCCAAAATAAAGTGGCCACCACTTCCGGCCTTAGTAATGGCCAAGCCTAAGTCGGCAAAGTGCTTGCCAATGGAAATATGTATATCTTAAATAAATTCTCAGAAAACAAATTGCAGAATGATTGTTAATGCTTACTTTAACCAAAAACTGCTAAGAATAAACCAGTATAGGAATACATTCATAAATTACAGTCCATTCTTTAAAAAAAAAAAAAAAAAAAAAAAAAAAAAAAATTATTAATAAATGCAGAAATTTTTTAAGCAGATAAGTTTAAAGAATCACACATAAAAATTTAATTACTTATTGAATTTTAATTTTTGACAAAATTTAATTAATTTCTTGCAATACTTTTTGATGATGCTCCAACCTACCACATAAGGAAAAAAATTACTCACAGAAAAATAAATTAGCAAAAATGTAATTAAATGTATAAAAATTTAGTTATGCAAAATTATTATTAACTCCTTCTCATATTTTGACTTTGTTAAATCCAGCTGTTACACTAACAGAAACAGTTTTTTGAATGAATCTTCAGATGGTATGCAAGTTATTTCTTGGTTATCCACATCTTATTTTAATCATACATAAAATTTCTTCTGTGACAATATTGAAAATAAACAGAAAACATTTAGGACCCTTCATACTAGATACTCAGCATGTGGTGCTTAAGTGAGGATTGAAAACATCTACATTTTAAGAGATCATAATAGAAGACTAGACAGAGACTTTTGGATGCATTTTGGTAATAAAGTAAAGGTATGAATGGAAAAGATAACTTTCCTATTCAAAGAAGGTATCATATGTAAATTTAAACACTTCAGAAGGAACGCACAAAATAATGGTACTTTCCTATGATCTGCATCTCCACAGAAAAGCCGTTATATTTTGTCACTTTACACAGAAACTTTTATTTGGGTTCTTCCGCTTTGCTTCAATGATGCATCCAGTGTCATCTATTTTTTACACTCTTCTTTTTCTATAAAATGCATGCACATGAAGGTAGTTACGCCAATTAATAGTTGTGTTTGGAAATAATAAATAAAGTGAATAGCTGTTGCAAATGACATATAGCTATCTTCAAACCAGTTTTTAACACACAAACACTTTACCTGCATTTCCATAAAATTCAGTAGTAGAAGTACAACTTGATAAAATGCAAATTTTTGCATTCTAAATTTTTGGACAAAATGCCATATTTCTAAAGATATGCAACACTTTCCTTTTCATTGGCCAGTAAACTTCCCGGTCTAATTACGATTCATTATGTCAAAAATTAAAGTACTCAATACAAACAGAAATACTAATAAAAAATTGCCACTGAATTTCAAAAGTGCAACTCTATAGGTACTCAAATACACAATGCACATATCTTTGTTGCCAAATAAATAATTTTTAGTGAGACAATGTGTCATTGCCTCATCAATATTGTTTGTGACTCTTTTAAAGACCATAAAAAACTTATGTGTAGAGTACAGTAACCTTTAATAATATGGTTCACCAGGTAAAAGCAAAAGAAAATCAGCTGCATAGTAAATTTACAAAGCTTTGATCTGTAAGAGAAAAACTGAAAATGACAAGTTTACTAAAGCATTATCATTTAAATTTTCAGCAGCAAGCAACTTGAGAAATTCAAATTTGCTGCATCACAAATAACTTCAGATGACCACATAAGATTTTTAACAACACAAATAACAGCATAAACAACTGCATAAAATCCCAATCTAGTCTAGAAGTATTCGTACTGCAAGTATCTTTGAAAACATCACAGTTCTATCAAAGTTAGGACGTAACTCTTACTAGCTGAACAAAAATCATAGCAAGACTTATGTCCATATCTTATTGCTAAATAAAGTTTTACAGAAAGATCGAATCAAATACAAAATTTAAAAACAAACTTTTGTAAGCATAATTACATCATCAAACACATTACTTTATCTTCTTTATTATCCTCCTTTTTCTCCTTACGACTTTTATCTTCCTTTTTAGATTTAGAGTCCGTGTTTCCTCTCTTGTACCTTTCATTATTTGATCTGTTAGTGCTGGGGCAATTTCTACTGCCAGTTGGTTTTGTTGGCTCATTTCTTCTCACATTGCGAATTGGACGTACTGGTGGACCGTGCCTGCAGGAAGTAGATAAAACACACAAATCAAATTTAATTTTATATATCAAAAATTAATGGCCACTTAAAAATTATTATGCAACTGTAGAATGCATGTTAAAAAAAAAAAAAAAGAAAAGAAAAGAAAAGACAAGGAGGAATAAAAACCTTATGTTTTAAAAGCTAGATAGAAAAATTTCGAATTTTAAAAAGCATGCGATGCAATGAAGGCCCTTTGGAGCAAAAATATCCACAGAAAATGTCAATAATATAAAGTTAGAATTTTAAAGAAAGGTATTAAACTTATTCTGAATAACAGAAATTAATTAATATTTTGTGGATCCACAGCTCTCACTATACTGTTGCGTTCATAATAGATCGAATGCACACAGAACTGATGATAGCTTGATAAAATTTATTTTGCCAAAAGAAACACTTCACAGCTCTGCAACTTTCCACAAAAATAGTCATATAGCTTTTCACAGCATTACAGAGTACAGTCAGTAGTTTAAACTTCTAAGCACATTAAACACAACACAATGCAAAGTGAATCTTAAGAGGAAGCTCACACAGAGATATCTAAATTCTCCAAACTTATGATGAACTAAACAACTAACAATAACTGAGAAAGAGATACTCTCTCTGGTCTTGCACTCCTGTCCATAAATTAAGGATAATTCGGAGTCACACGGAAATCGAACTCTAAAATAAATACAGTCAAAAGTCATTAATTCGGACACCCATAATCTGGAATGATCCGGACCTCAAAGCTAAAAACTTTCTGCGCATGCGCCGCGTTGACATATGCGCATAGGCGTTTACGCGTGCACGTAAAACCTATACGACTGCACATATGCATGTGCGCAAGCGCAGAATACATTTTCGCATGCGCGTTTAATGTATAACAGATCGTATAAGCTAAAATTATCTAATTATGTATTTCAGTTAATGTGATAATTGTGTTGTTCCTTAATCTTCGAATTGGATGCGCTTATATTTTTTGCAGACTGTAAGAGCAATTTATAAAAGTAAAATTGAACTTTCGATTATGTCAAATAGAATTTTCATGCTGGGACTCCCAAATGAATCTACAAAACGAAAGTATGTTTCGATGTCCGTCAAACAAAAGTGGAATTGCTGCAAAAAAATGGATAAAACATGAAAAGGACAGAGAGGTTAGTGAAACAAAATTTCAATTGACAAGTTAGTCGGTATTCTCGGCACAGCATTACGGCTTAACAACTGAACTTTGATCTGAACAAGAAATTATGTTTGTTTATAGAATAAAGAGAAAGTATTATCACATAAAACAAGCAACTTAAACAACTACATTAAAAGAAACGTTTGATAAAGTAAACAAATAAATATTAAGCTTTTTTTTTTTTTTTTTGTAATTTGATACCCTTTAGATCTAATTGTTCTTTATTTCTTAAATTACGGTTTAATATTTTTAATTTTAGAATTTCTGCATGCCATCTTACTGATTTTACTAGATTTAAACTGATGATATACTTACAAAATTGTATACTTACAAAACTGATAAAATATATTACTAGATTTAAACTGATGATATATAATCCGGAAAATCGATAATCCGGAATCGCCGAAGTCCCGACGAGTCCAGATTAACGACTTATGACTGTATATCACCTGTAAAATCACTACACACATCTTCAAGAATTATATGCGAATTTCAGTAAGTAACCAGAAGACACCGATGGTACGTCACAATGATGAGAGTGTAAGAGAGTGATATATAAGGAATACAGGCAGAGAAGAAAAATTGTTTGCAGGCGCTTTATAAGCACAGTGCAATAACCGAATATTTATGACAAAGGAGGCATTTGGATGATTTTTTTACGTGGTAGAATTATCGGCCGTTTGGAATGTAGGTGTACCCAACTGGAAGTATCAGACGAAGTTAGAATTGCCCAGAGTGTCATCTCCAGGCTTTGACAACGATTCCAAGATGATGGTAATGTGAGTAGACGTTACAGCACAGGTCGCCCCAGAGTTACAACGCCGAATGAGGACCGGTATTTTGGCAGTTACTGCCAAAACGAAACAGGTGGAGCACAGCCTCAGACCTGTCTCGTCAGCTCTCTTCAGCCACTGGTACGACAATTTCAAGGCAGACCGTGTACAGACGCTTAGGGCAGATTGGTCTATATGCTCGTAGACCTGTCAGATGCGTTTCCACTTACTGCAACTCACTGTCGCCTGCGGTTAGCCTGGAGTAGAGAGCATGCATTGTGGACACCGCAACAGTGGGCTTGTGTGACGTTTTCCGACGAGTCCAGTCCAGGTTTAGCTTGCAGTCTGATTCTTGCCGGACTTTCATATGGAGAGCTCCAGGTACCCGTTACCACCAAGAAAACATCATTGAATGACACCGTTACGGTGGTACAGGAGTGCTCGTTTGGGGTGGAATTATTCTGGGTTCCAGAACTGACCTGCATGTTCAAATTGGAACCATGACAAGCCAAATCTATCGGGACGTCATTCTGGAACAACATGTACGTTTGTTTCGGGGCGCCATGGGCACACAATTTGTGTTTATGGATGACAACGCCCATCCTCACCGTGCAAACATCGTAAGCGAATGCCTTCAATCGGAGGATATCACCCGTATGGACTGGCCAGCATTCTCACCGGACTTGAATCCAGTAGAGCACGTGTGGGACATGCTTGGCCGACGAGTTGCAGCCCGTCAACCTCCTCCTACATGTCTACCGGAACTTCGGAGAGCATTGCTTTTTGAGTGGTGTAATATCCCCCAAGATCAGATCGATAATTTAATACTCAGCATGCCTAGGCGTTGTACGGACTGTATTGCATCGTCTGGGAGACATACAATGTATTAACAATCATACCAACCATGTAATATTGATTTTTTGTAAATAGGTTTTTTTTTTTTTGTAATTTGCTCCAGGGAGAAAAAATCGCTAATTTTTTTAATAATATCAAACATATAGCATCTTTTTTGCTCTTTACCTTTTGTTTAATAAATAAGCTTTACAAATAAGTCAAATTTGTTTTGCTTCTAACTCTTCCTTTGCCTGATTTTGCATTATCCTTAATTTATGGACATGAGTGTATATAGTGACTACCCAGTCACGAGATAATTCTAATACTTTCTGCTTCTCAAAATTACTAGAAGGCATATAAGTGCCGGTTATGGTTACAGCTAATCAATTACAGTTATTCAATTACAATATCCATTACAGTTATACAAGGATTTGATCATAATGTCGCCATGTTTGGCAATTTTCACCAAATATGGAGACGAATATTAGTCGCAAAAACCACTGCCAACTTGCTGATATCTCCCCAAATTAGCGAGACAGCGATTTACTCAGTGTTAAACAGACTTGCTCCTGTATTCTTATTTTTCCCGCAGAGCATCGTTTCTCTCAAGCTTTTTATATTACACTATATAGGAAAATAGAGCAATTTTATACATAACTCCACTAAAACTATCTATATATGTACAAAATTCGTAACAATACTTTTAAAAACACTTATTCCACATTTCATTGGGATCATTCCATTACAGCACCATGATAAACATGCAGAAACCATAAATGTTTACTGTGGCCATCTGGCTACAGTTAAAAAGAAAAATGCTTACGATGGTGTCTCTTCAGAAATATGTCCACAATCTAATAAAAACTAGTTTCTAACTTGTAAAAAACAACCTTCATAAAAAGGCCAGGGCATCATTGTGTAAACAGGATTTTAGTTTGGTATTATGATCAAAAAGCAAATGAAAAGTCTATTCGTTCCAAAATATTCATGCTTCTTACAAGATTCAGTCTTTTTGAATGGTGTTTAACATGGATACAATTTCCAGTACCTGCATAACAAAGAACTTATCTCACGAAGCTGTCCCATTACAGTAGAAATTTTGGGAAACAATTAGAGAAATGTTTAATTAATACTTTAACCCTTTCAATCCGGCTTTTGCATGATTAAAATTTAATTATGAAAAGTAAAAGAAGTGTAATATGAGTTTAAAGTTTTAAACTTTTCCCATTTCTTGGAAATCTCCTGGGACGATATGTCCCAATCATATTGTCAACTGGGACTACTTGTCCCAGTCATCTAGGATATTATGATAATAACCTTACACTGCATGTGAGTAAATAATAAGGTTAAATGAAATGTACCGAATATTTTATTCTTACAGTACAAGTTAAGTATGATATAACGTAAACCAGACTTTACAAAGTGCAACCTGACACATTTGGCAAATACGCCAGGTGTCTTTAGTCATATATTTGTTCCCTAATTTCTTAAAAACACTGCAAATGTAAAAACCCATTTAAAAGTGGGTTTTATCTACCCAATAGGGAATTAAATCTAATCTCTGGGACATATGTTCCCATTAGAACCAAAAAAGTTAATGTCGCTAAAAAAACGTATTACATTATAATTGAAAATTAACCAATACACTTATTAAAGGAAATTATTATGCTTAAAAAATTCTAAACTCTTTTTATGTTCTTCTGTAAATTATTCTATCAAAAAAAAAAAAAACTGCTAACAAACAGTGCTGTTTATGCCAATAACGGATAAGTGCGAGATCACAACATATATGTATGACTCTCTCTTTGGTTTTATGTAACTGCGATTAATTTTTTGATAAGCCATTTTTATTTTTGTGGAAAAGGACTTAACTGATATTTCTGTTTTTCCTCTTGAATTCTGAGAAAAATGGTTAAAATTTAGGACCTGCCTTCTACAGAACAGCAAAAAATGGAAATTTTCACAGAATCCTACAATCATACTCAAAATATTGAAAAACTCCGAGATTCAGCAGAATGCAACAATAAAGAACGACATAGCACAATTTAGATTTACATTAAAGTAAATTTATGTAGTGCCAGGTTCACAAAGAAGATGACTATTTTGTAGCAATTTTAAATGCCATTAAGGACTTTTACCCACCAGAATGACTGATGCAAGTTTCAACAAATTTGTTTGTAAGATAATGCAGGGTCAGTGAATTCCAAGCCATA